CACTGAAACAGAATAAGAGTAGAGGAACAGCCAGTTGAACAGGTTCATCTGGTCTCTGTCATACAAACATAACAACCCTCCCACCTGTAGTTTGTGGTTTAAAGGTTAGGTTTGAATAATCTTATGTATGTGCTAATAATACATGTCCTCATTCACTTCCCATGGTGTTTGTAAAAATACTTTTTTCATACTCTAACTTGAGGTAACTGATGTAACTTTAACCAGTCACAAAGGCAGAGCTAACTCTTCCTCATTCTGTTTATTTAAATCTGAAATGCCTTTGGAGTCAACTGTTGATTATGAGTCAACATTTAAAAACAACTTGGTTTGCACAGGATATGAAGCACAATCTACAGCTAAATCAGATCTAGGTTCAGCCAAAGGACAGAGAAGCATTCAGTTTTCTTTTCAGCAAGCCATTTCTCCATTTCAAACAGGCTGCACACAATGCATGTTTGTTTTAAGTTGCCTGCTCATTGCTTTATTTCTGCTGCATGTCTTTAGCGTAGATTTACATCAATAATTCTATCACACAGTAGGCCGACACTGCGTTCATCGTAGTAAATAGATACTGCACACTTTTTAAAGTTAAGTCAGAGCTCTTTGGTACTGTTGTTAATACTTCATAAGATAAAATGAATGGGTTGAGCAAGTTTATTACTCTTTACTCATTACTCTTTTCAAATGTCACTTTACTACATTAATTAGTTACACTACTAGTTATATTACTTTTCTGTTACTCCCTACAAAATTGGTAATTGATTTCTTTCTTCCCGACAATTCAAAATGACAACAATAAAAATCCAGTTTTGTTTGTTAAAATCAAAGTAAAGTAATATTTTTGCAGAATTTAAGCGTTTCCATCATCCAAACCAGTTTCCTCCACACTTACAAAAATGAATCCAGCGAAGTGATTGGATTGTTGGATTTCAGATCAGTAGACGGGTGACAAACAATATTGTAATCAATCATTTTTTGTGGAAGTGTGCCGTCTATAAAATATCTCAATGCTTCAGGACTACAGTCTGTATCTGCCTCTGTGACCATCTGACCCCTCTGGTTACCTTTAAATCCATATATATATGATAAATAAATAAACTCTCTGTCTCTTATACACCCACACACACGTTGTCTCTCTCTTACCTGGTACAGGTCTCCTGATGTGTCCTCTCTGTATCTACAGTCATCTGACTAATAACATACCAGCCTCAGCAGTTTGGACACATACCAACCTTTCATCCACACCCTTTAAACAGTCTCCTAGTGGCTTCACACTGAAGCAGGCACATCCTCTTCCTCAACTGCCAATCAACTAAAAACAAAACAACAAACCTTCTAATATTATTTAACAGTTGTAATATTTAAAATATCTATATGATTGTTATTATATTAATCTACAGACCAGTGGTGAATCTACAGTGATAATGAAAAGCTCTCTATCCAAATCTGATCTGTACAGTAGACACTCACCTGAGCATCAACAGTGGTCCGTTTCCAATTACTGATTTCACTTTAGAGTCGTGGGCTGTGTGGGCTAATGAACATTAAAATATAATTCATGAACTGTTTGAGTTTAATTTTGGCAGTTAAGGGGTTAATCACCTGCTAGATTTTGTGCTGCGTCATCAGTCCAAGATGATGAAAGTGAAAGAAAAGACTCGGCTCAGAACATGTTTGCATGTGTTTCAAAGTATGAGAAGAAAAAGAACGAGCTGTAAATGTGTCTGAATCACACTCTCTGTAACACTCATTAACAGAGCAATCTTTGAAGAAAGAATTCAGCCTATGTGTCAGTAATTTAACACAACTTTTGAAACCCAACTCCCTGATGTCTACTGACATTCATATGTTCTGTCTATTTTTAATATATGTTAATGAATGGGCACAGTATTATTGTGTACAGTAATACACTATTAGTAGGATGTAAACAGTGCATGTGCATTAGAAGATTAGTGATTTAAATCTTATTTGTTGTCTTTCTAGAAAATGCAACTCATTTCCGCCTTGCAGCGACCTCTGACCTGACCCCAGGGCCTCTCAGGAGGCGCTGGCCTTTACCCGCGGCCAGAAGGGGGTCTCTGCCACTGCTGGCCATGTTAATCTCTTCTGTATGTTAATCTCCGGTGGCCTTCGGCCGGCGGGCGGTTCCGCAGCTGTTCGAGGAGCTGCAGCAGCCGGAGGAGGAGCGCAGACAGCGGGCTCTCAACTCTCTGTGCGACCTGATGCACGACCCGGAGCGGATCTACCAGACTGTTAACGGCGGTAACTGTCAGCCAAAGATCCGGTTCTACATCAAGAACTCTGACAGCTCACTTCTCCATTCACACTGCCAACATTTACATTTTATTACACTGAAATATACTTTAAATACAAAGTTTACAAGTTGAACAGTTTATACAAAATAATCACAGGGTCACTATAAAAAAGTAATCTGATTACCTGTTAAAAACATGTAGTTATTCAGTATCCTAATCCAAGTATCACCATATTAAAGTAACTTGATTACTTTCTGTTACTTTTGGATGACCTCAACAGCAAATGTGTAAATAACAACAGAAATATCACTAATCAATAAGTATTGATCAGTGTATTGGATCATCAACAATATATAATGAGTCCTCTGCAGAGTGTGTTTAAATAAAAACGGATGTATTTTATCATTCTAATCCATATTTGTAGTAAACATTGATTCTATATATTATTCACTCTTGTTCTTTCTTCAGGTTTTCTGGAGCAGGTTGAAGGTTTTGTTGAAAGGACGGACGATTCAACGTCAGAAAGAAAACCTGCAAACTGCTTCACATACTGACTGCCTCACAGCACTCGCAGGTACAGACAGACAGGGAGGAGGAGACAGACAGACAGGAGGACTGAGAGACAGGACAGACAGGAGAAGACAGACAGGAGAGAGACAGGACAGGACAGAACAGACAGGACCAGGAGACTGACAGGACAGACAGACAGACAGGTGGTAGAAATCATGGATTCTCAGCCAGATTTGATTCAATAATTGTTTCCTGATGAGCTGGTTTGATTCTCTGCTGTTGACCAGCAGGGAGGCGGATAACACAGGCAGAAGACTTCCAGGTTGGTTGGTTTCTCGCTCTCCTCCTCAGACAGGCCCTGCTCTCCTCCTCCCTCCTCCCTCCTCTTCTCTCAGCTGTTGTGGGACCGACTCCTTCGTCCTCCTGCAGGAGGAACGTCCCACCGAGTGCTGAACCGCCTCAGTCTGCTGCCTGCAGGTTCTCAGGCCCGTCTCATTCTGCAC